GTTTGCGTTGTTGTCAGCCACCCCCCCAAATGGTTTCCCGCTTTACCAATGTTAAAATCTGGTCACTTTAATCAGGGGTGATGCAGTAAGAGCCAGATGGGAAGCCCTGCACTTACTGTTCTGGACTACAGAAGAGAAGCCCCCAAATTAGGATTCAGGAACTTATATAGCACTGGAACAACTGCCCACTCCCTTCCCTTCTGAGAAAGGGAGAGACGGCTTTGTACCCTGTCCTTTAAAATGCTCCATAATATAAGCAAGTGCTCTGGGTTCCATCCCCCTCTGAAATGCAAAAACATACCTCTGGGTAATAAACTTCTCCCTTTGGTCTTTTATTATCTAATCTCCTTTTAACTTCCAAGCCTTGTCTTTTACCCAGTTTTCTTTGCCCAGAAAACTCTGACTTTCCAGAAACATAAAAATATTTTCTCTACAGTTCCACACTATTTCAGGGTAAAAGAAATCATGTCTGCAATATGCAGTCTGCATTAGACAAATATCGATACACACTTGTGGGTCACTATGAAAGTTTTGAGACAGACTGTCTTATGGTCCGTTATTTCACTTCCAAGAAACACAGTCGACAGAGTCTTTTCTGATTCACCTGTGCAAGTTTCAGCTTGCTTAGCTTATGGGTGTTGTTGGGAGGGCTTCTTTTGTTTCCAGCTGAATAGATTTTATGTTTCCTGAATTTGTGTATCTCAAAACTTTCATAATGACCCATGTACATATACACAGATGCTTATGGAGGGACAGAAAGAGAATAAAGCATACAGGGCAAAGTTTTAGCAAGTAAGGAATTTAGATGGAAGACATATAGCATTCTTTGTATTATTTGTACAAGTTTTCTGCTAACTGTACAATTATTTCAAAAAAAACACTTTAAAATGTAAAATAAAATGTGGGAAAGAGAAGAACTACTGTAGCTTAGAATGACAGAATGCATACAAACATACTTATTCTGTAAGTATAGTCCACATATACATTTACAGGACTTCCATGTCTAAGGTTTGGCTCAAGGGTTTCCTGGCCCTTCCACCCCAGCACTCACAATCTAGAGAAGCCCTAAGCATCTGCGATGAGTTTGATGAATGTGCCCATCCAGGGGTACTGAGGAAGCCAATGTCCAGAGGGCAGAAGCCAGTTGGGATAGGGAAAGATGAGGCCTCCCTGAAGAACACTTGGAGAACTAAAGAATGAAGGGGCTTAGCCAGTGACAGCTGGGGTCAGAGTGGTAGGGACAGTTCCAGTTTCCTGAGAAGAAGGGCTTGTGATCTAAATTAGGCCTCTTTTGGGAGGTGTGTAGGAGGCATGAGAGGGTGGGGAGTTCATGCTGTAAAAAGTGCCAGACACATAAAAAAGGATCTCTAAATATTTTGCAGAATAAATCAGTAAATGATCCTTTAATTCAAAATACATTTTAATGAAAGAAAGTCATCAGACACAGTTTATCCCCCCTCCTTGAAATCAGGATAAAAATAACAGCATTTTATGTGTCATTTTTTCATTTGTTTCTGGAAAAATAAATCTGTGCCCTCTTTTCCAGAAACACACTTTTTGGCTGAAAGGATTAATATGACCATTTAGATAGAGACCAAATAAATCATTTTCCTGTTTATCATATTATACTGTCCTAAATTTTTTTTTTTGAGACAAGGTCTCACTCTTTCACCCAGGCTGGAATGCAGTGGTGTGAGCATAGCTTACTACAGCCTTGAACTCCTCAACTCAAGTGATCCATCTGCCTCAGCCTCTTGAGTAACTTTTTGTTTTTTGTAGAGACAGGATCTCACTATGTTGCCCAGGCTGGTTTCAAACTCCTGGCCTGAAGTGATCCTCCCACATTGGCCTTCCTGAGCTGTGATTATAGCCCTGAGCTATAGTACCTGGCTAAAAGTTCTTTTAATCAAGATGTTTAAAATTTGCTCCAAGTGTTTTGATTTCTTTTATAATTCTCCAAATTGATTCAGACTAAATCTTTTTGATAAGTATATATTTATTTCTTGTCCCTTGCTTTTTCTTTCTTTCTTTTTTTTTTTTGAGATGGTCTCACTTTGTCACCCTTGGTAGGGTGCTGTGGCGTCATAGCTCACAGCAACCTCCAACTCCTGGGCTTAAGTGATTCTCTTGCCTCAGCCTCCCAAGTAGCTGGGACTACAGGTGCCCGCCACAATGCCTGACTACTTTTTTGTTGTAGTTGTCATTTTTTAGCAGGCCTGGGCCAGTTTGAACCTGCCAGCGCCAGTGTATGTGGCCGGAGCCCTAACCACTGAACTATGGGTGCCGAACCTGTCTCTTGCTTTTTCATACTTCTGTATTTTTTTTTTTTTGAGACAGAGTCTCACTATGCAGCCCTTGGTAGAGTACCATAGTGTCATAGCTCACAGCAACCTCCAACTCCTGGGCTTAAGTGATTCTCTTGCCTCAGCCTCCCAAGTAGCTGGGACTACAGGTACCCACTGCAATGCTCAGCTATTTTTTGTTTGCAGTTCTCATTGTTGTTTAGCAGGCCCAGGCCGGGCTCCAACTTGCCAGCCCCAGTGCATGTGACCAGTGCCCTACCCACTGGGCTATGGGCACTGAGTCTATTTTCTGGTTTTGAAAATGGAATATTCAAAATAAAAGAACCAGGCAGGACATGGTGGCTTGTGGCTTTAATCTTAACACTTTGGGAGGTTGAGTCAGAAGGACTGCTTGAGGCCAGGAAAATAAACAAGTGTGAGACCGTGTCTCTACAAGAAAAAAAAAAAGAAGAAAAGAAAAATCAGCTGAGTATGGTAGCATGTGCCTGTAGTCCCAGCTACTTGGGAGGCTGAGGCAGGAGGCTCACTTGTGCTTAGGAGTTCAAGGATATAGTGAACTATGATAATACCATTGTAGTCTAGCCAGGGCAACAGAGAAAGACGCCATCTCAGAATAAAAAAAAAAAGAACCACGTTAATGGTGTAATATCTGGGAAATAGAAGAATGTAGCATAATCAGCTATAATCTCTGTAAGAACCATGATTTATGGACCAGGCTTGGTGGCTCATGCCTGTAATGCTAGCACTCTGGGAGGCCAAGGCAGGGGGATTGCTTGATCTCAGGAGTTGGAGACCAGCCTCAGCAAGAGGGAGACCCCCTCTCTACTAAAAATGGAAAACTAGCTGGGTGTGGAGGCACATGCCTGTAGTCCCAGCTACTCTGGAGCCTGAGCCAAGAGGATCACTTAAGCCCAACAGTTTGAGGTTGCTGTGAGCTGTGACGCCACAGCACTCTACCCAGGGAAACAAGAGTGACACTCTGTCTGAAAAAAAAAAGAAAAAAGAACTGATTTACCATATTTACCATTGTGATATATTCCTTTTCATGTGTTTTTTTATTTCTCTATATCTTTTTGAGTACATTTTTTTAAAAAGAATAGGAATCATAGGGGGATAAAAGCTGTAATATAAAATACATGCTAATTCACACAATGGAATCATTTCCGGAGCTACTGGTTATTCTTAGAAACCATTTCTACTGCCTCCTAACTAAAAGCAAGCACGGCTGCCGTCAGTTGTTAGCTGACCAGCTGGAGCTGGAACCTGAGAGCCCTGTGGGTGGAGGGTGGGAGAAAAGGAGACCTCATCCCTGATTTGCTGATTGGTGTCTGCAGTTGTCTTCTGTTTATGCCTGATTGTGGCTCAGAATAGAGTGCCCTCTGCTGAGCTATGTGCAAAATACCTCCCAGTGAATTTTCTGGAAAGAACTACGCCGTGGAAAATGTAGGGGAAATACTTAATAATAATAATAATAAATCTAAGTATTCATTTGATTTGATACAAGTTGGAAACTGCTTGGAAGATAAAATATTTAGGTGGTCAGGGCAGTGCCCGTAGCTCAGTGGGTAGGGAGCCTGCCACATACACCGAAGCTGGTGGGTTCGAGCCTAGCCCTGGGCCCACTAAACAACAGTGACAACTGCAACAAAAAATAGGGGGCGTTGTGGCGGGTGCCTATAGTCCTGGCTACTTGGGAGGCTGAGGCAAGAGAATCGCTTAAGAGTGTGAGGTTGCTGGGCAGCTCCTGTGGCTTAAAAGGGTAGCGTGCCGGCCCCATATGTGGGAGGTGGTGGGTTCAAACCCATCCCTGCCCAAAAACTGCAAAAAAAAAAACAACTTTTTTTTCCATTTTTTTTTTGGTCGGGGCTGGGTTTGAACCCACCACCTCCAGCATATGGGTCTGGTGCCTTACTCTTTGAGTCACAGGAGCCGCCCCAAAACAAAAAAAAACTTTGAGGTTGCTGGGAGCTGTGACACCACAGCACTCTACCCAGGGCAACAAAGTAAGACTGTCTTTTTTTTTTTTTTTT